ACAAGTATGGGGGTTGAGGGCAACGCTCAGTTGTCTAGCCTCCAATGATGAGCTACCGAGTTAGAAGATCCTCATGGGTGCTCTCCCTTTAAGCATGCCTGTGCAACCCCCGCCAAGGCAATCTAAAATCATCTTGGTCAGCCTCTCTCAATTTCTATCAGATCTCAACGAGTGTAATTAGGATTCTCCATGTTCACCAACAATTCAAGCTTACTCGATTTCATCGAGTAGGCTTATCTTCTTCGTCACTTGCATCAATCCAAGTTCACCTCATCTTATTAGAGGAGTTGGACCCATAGCTTTCAATGGCGCACGACGCGGCGCGGCGCACCATGGCGCATGTTCATGGTGAGGCGCATGTGTTTAAAATAGCGCCGCTTATTTGCGCCACATATGAGACATGGCGCATTGTGCACTGCAAAATTAGCGCCCAAATTGTTTTTAAATTTTCGAATACTTATGAATATTTTTTATATTTTAAAATATATCTATATCTTTTAAGATAAACGACTATTCATTGCCCTAATTTCACAAAAGATTTTCTGTTTGCTGCATCCGCCGAACACATCCCGCAGTCCCTAAGTTCGAGGATCGCTGATCATATCCCGAAGTCGAAATTTTCTGTTTTTCTATTTGCTTAGCAGTCGCTACTTTCCGCAAATCCAGCGAATCTGTCCCGAAGTTGAAAGTCGTTTGTTTTTCCGCCGAATCTCCCCTCCTCCTTCTTGTTCCAATAAAAAATCTTACAGCTGACTCTGATTCTGATTGCAACCTCGTCTGTTCCGCACAACTATTGTTGTTTTGCACGGCATTTCTTACAAGAATTTACAACTTAAAACAGTATGCGGCCTTAAGGTAATCCGGCTAACGTAAGCTGACGCTATGTCGTGGATACGCTCGGTACCCACTAGTTACTGCTCTTGTACCGCTTCGTATAGCTCGTACACTAGTACCATTCTCGTACAACTAGGTCCAGCTTCGGGTGCAACTAGGTACCACGCTCGGTATTGCTAAGTGATGCCTGATACCGACTCGGTACCGCTATGTAAATGCTCTGTACCGCTCAGTACATGGCTTCGGTACCACTAGTACATGCTTTGTACACTCGGTATAGACTCGGTACATTAGGTACACGCTGGGTACATGTCTCGGTATTGCTAAGTTACATGCATGATACGCTCGGTACTGCTATGTAAATATGCTCGGTTACCGCTCGGTACAGCTTGGTACAACTAGGTACACGCTCGTACCTCTTCCAAATTTCCATACACGAACTTCAAATTTCTCTTACAAATAATATTTTGTTCCGGGGGCGCTGCCCCTTGGACCCCCGGCAGCCCCCATTATTTTATTCTTGGACAATATGTTTCTTTATCTAATTTGTTTGCTTTTAGGTGAGTATAAAATGTCAGATTAGTTCATCTTTAAAAAAAGATCCAGCATGTAAATATGCCTATTACTAAACAAATTGAATCGACAACAACTGTGTGACATGCATTTTTTGTGGTAAAATAACAAAAGAGAGGAATTACACGCCACACAACAACACCTCGTTGGAGGTTTTTTTAGAATGCAAGCGCCTTGCTACTAACTGTCCGAGCATGTGAAGTTCTGAATTATGGACATCCCTGTTGAAAAAAAAAGACTTTTAAAGGAACAGTTAATGGCATATCAAATGATCACTTGCTGACGAAGAAGAAGATAGACTTTGATGTTTGATGACAGCATGATATTTTAGTTGCTAAACCATCCAAAATGTTGCGGACAAATAAATCTAACAATCTAGTCAAGGATCGACATCGTACACTCTATATTCAAAACATCACGGACCTAAAGGCCATAGATAGCTTTCCTTACACCAAATCCTGAAGATGTAGTAAAGCATAGAAAAGGTCAGTTTTAACAAAGAAATGGATGCAGCTAAAAAAAGAAATGAGGTGAAAGGGCTTTCAAGTGTTTCCAGTAGATGGATGTACGATGCCCTGGCGATCTCCATTCTAATGCTGTGAATTATGATAGTTTCCCTGCTATGGTGGAGCACTTGGGCAGGTTTGGAACCTGGAATGAAACCTCCTAGTTATCATGAGGTAAACGAGTTACTGTTTTGAAGAAAGAGGTTGGACATTACACATGAGCTATTGCGACGCCATTCAAGAAGATTGTGTTACGATATGGTTGTTCTCTAATGGGCAGATGGCATGGACATCAAGAAATAGGAAAAGCTTAATCATTTTCTTGTTAATTTGTCCAAGAGGTAGTTGCATTCATAGAATCAATAGATGCTAGTTTCTTTTTCCAAGAATGCTGTGAAAATGTTTGAACTTTTTGCCAAGTTTATCGAGGTTATTGGACACACATAATGTGATCCAAAGTAGTCACTGATGAATGTCATCGAAAAATGTTCTTGCAGGTTTGTTATAACTTTTATTCTAAGTATGTTTATTTCATGAAGAATTTGTGTACATCTTAACTTTTAAATTAAATGACATAACAGGAAAAATTATTGGATGGACAAATATCCTTCTCATTTATTTGGGACTCCTTGGCGCTCACTGTTTTGGATTTATTAATGAAGGACACAAAAAATCAAAAGCTAAGGCGATGCTTTGAGAAAGCGTGGCAGTACACATATTTAAATTCCAGCCTCGCTTACATTTGAGTTAATGAGAAGGTGCACAAATCAAAGAGTACTATGTTCAAAGCCCTCAAATGACTCACTTTGCAACACTTTCTTAACTTTTTACAACGTTTTCATCAACAACAACTTGGACTTGAAGAAAAATGTTTATTGTGAGAATTTATCTTGGGTCCTTATTGCGACAAGAGACTAAGCTAAATATCTCAACATTACAATCTTACAGCAAATCATTTTGGTAACACTATAGTGTATGCCTTAAAAATAGCTGCGTCCTTTATTAAAGTTCTTAGATGGTTGATGGAGAGAAGAAGCCCCCAATTGGCTTACTACATGAAGCAATTGATAGAGCAAAAGAGGCAATTGTTGCAAGCTTCAATAACAGTGATAAGTATGGATCAAATTTTTAAAATGATTATAGAAGATGGAAGTTGCAATTTACATCGGCCTTTACATTGCAGCGGGACATTATTTAAATCATAAATATTTCTAAACAATAACCCTAATTATTACCAAGGATAAGGAAATAGCTGATGCGTCTTTATCAAGTATTGGAAGATTATCTCAAGATTCAGTGAGAAGATAAAATCAATAATGAATTTAAGTTATACATATAGGGTGAAGGACTTTTTGGTATTTCTCCAGCTGTAAGACAAAGAACTACCCCGATCTCCAGATATCATTATTTACAAAAAATTTAAGACTGATTTGTTATATAATATTTGAAAAAAAAAATATATTCTTCCAGCTGATTTGGTGGTTGACGATTCTTTTATTATTATGATAGCTTATCTTTCATTTTTAATAATATTTCATATTCGTGCTTATTATTTTATATTTTTTTATATAACTTGCGCCATGTTCAAAATAGCGCGCGCCGCGCCATGCGCTATGCGCCATGACTCCAAATGGACCTTTGCGCCATGGTGCGCCATTCGCCGTTAACAGGTATGGTTGGACCCAAATCTAATCGTGAATGACACACAACCTTACTATAAGACAAATTCTATATAGGGTAGCCAATAACCTATGTGAGAATGGAGAGAAAGCAATATGCTTGAGAGAATCTATAACGAAATGCTTAGGGGACTAGCTCAAGCAAGTTAGATACTATTACTAGGAGTTGGAGAAAAATGCGCCATGGTGCGCCATTCGCCGTTAACAGGTATGGTTGGACCCAAATCTAATCGTGAATGACACACAACCTTACTATAAGACAAACTCTATATAGGGTAGCTAATAACCTATGTGAGAATGGAGAGAAAGCAATATGCTTGAGAGAATCTATAACGAAATGCTTAGGGGACTAGCTCAAGCAAGTTAGATACTATTACTAGGAGTTGGAGAAAAAAGTTTGGCAACATCATACAGCTCATCAGATATTTATAAACGGAGATAATGCATTGATCCAAATTCATAATGATGAATCTCCAAGCCACCCAAGATCATAATAATAATAGGATAGTAACTTATATCAGAGGAAGAATTGACCCCCACAATAAGCTGATTGGTCCCACCTTGTGGATTCACACCTACTCTCTAAAAGGATCATCATATTAAGACTCATCTTAGAATGCTAGACAGACACATAATTTTACTCAACAAACCCCATCAAATTACTGGTTCGAATAGCCCTGAGCCCTCGAGGTCATTCAACTTAACGAGAATCACTCACCTAAAATAGCTATTTACAGTCATAGCCACCCACCAACTGCCGATATCCCAATCCACCTACAAAAAACACGCACCTCAGAACTCTTGCACGCAACTTGCGAAAGTAATGCAATTCTCGATTAGTGACAAGTTTCACTCAAGGGCCTTTGCCCTTTATGCTGGGAGGTCTAAGTAGCACTATGAACTCGCCCGCACATTAAGAAAACTCACCTTACAAATCTCGAAGACTCACCGCAGACACTCATCCTCATCATACAAAAAATCAACCCATAGTAGAAAGCCACATCGGAGGTCAGAATCCACATGACAATCAATCCGCTAAACCACACGTCTGGGACAACTTGTAACAATATTATCAGATATTGAACTTTCTTTCTTTTTTTTTTCCCCCTAAGAATAGCCTTCCTATAGCTCTTTAAGCAAAAGAAATTAAGGATGATGAGGCACTTTGGCTAGCTTTTCGAGCCATAAACTATTCATAGTAACTTACAAATTCAAGAGTTCTTTCTCCTAATCTTCATACTCATTCAAATCCTATATAATTTTTCAGTTCTTAATCAAATTAACGGCGAATAAAACCACGCATCATTCAGAAACAAATTCAAATTCATGATTTATTGCTATGCCATATTGTTCTGAACGAGAAATGCAATATAGACTACTTCATAACACCTAAAAAACATGAAACATCTGAAAGCAGTAACAAATTATGATGTATTTAGCCATGCATAAATGGTCCCTATGAACATTTTTTATTGTCTTATAATTACAACAACCAGTGTGAATGCATTAACAAGAGCAGAACTGTGTTGGTAAGGAAGCACAATAAATAGTACAAGAATAAGGAAGCACAAGACTTTGTTGCTCAAGGATACCACCTGGATGCCTGAAGGATATACAAAATATTTCTCTAGGAAAATAAATTAAAAAATTACAGAATTCAGAACCTCTTTAGGCAATCAACTACATTCTAGGTTGCACTAAAATCCTGTAAGGATCTTTATCTCTAATTGTACTAGACTGAGTTCTTGAAACAATCACGAAGCGGAGTTGTCATTTATTCGAATTTAAACCATTCCCAGTTAGCATAAAATTTAGCTTCAGCATCAAAAGGCATAACCTCATCACTAAGTTGATTCATTTTTTGAGTTGTTGGAAGAACAGGTGTCCTCTGTCTATACCTCTTTGCCATCTCTTCCGCCTCAAAGAAAACTTTCTGGCAATGAAAATTTAGCACTCTTATCACTCCAACAAAACAAGAAAATTAAGCCTTTTAATGGTATCGGAGAAAAAAAATTAGATGGCTCTACATAATTTCATACAAAATGCATGGAGATGAGATTAATCAGCTTTACCTCCTTATCTGAAAGAAATAGACCAGGTCTGCTCTCAAGTTCAGCAATACTGTCAGTTATATTACATGATTGAACGGGTGAATTAGAAAGCAAGGTTCAGTAAGGAGTTAAGGGTTAAGTTTGTACAACGTTTCAATTACAACATTAATGCATCAAAAATTAGAACATGAAACATAAGAAATATGTAAGCAAGAATAACATGTTGTAGCTATGCATCTTATATTCATCTGAAACTTACCTTAAGGAAATCTTGTCAGGGAACATAGACTTAACAACAAGAACTTTGACCCTTTCACCAACTTCAAGCACATCGCTTACATAAGCTACACGGGCCCGACTTATATTTGAGATATGAAGTAAGCCGCTGAAAAGATAGATTTAAGAAAGTATTAATAACGTAGGTAAAGTGAAAGAGTATAGGTAATGTGAAAGAGTATAGGTAAAGTGAAAGAGTGGTTAAGAATGCACTGTAAATACATGGACAAAATTGTATATGTTTAACCATGATAGTCTCTTATATGCTAATTTATAAGCCCTCTTCTAAATCAATATAATACAAAAAATTCCTTCCTTTGAACATGTTATTAAAGCATGAAACCCTAGCAGCCCTTTTAATTGCTCCCACCAACTACATAAAGCCTAACTGCCTACTTCTCAATTACTCTACCTACAATCACCACCCCACCACGCTATCATGCATGTCAAATAAGTTCATGTTCTCAATCACGGTTCCTGTTCACTTGTTGTTGGGCTTGTTCACTTGTCAGCATCCTACCACACACAAGATGTTTATGCCTCTACCCAACTATCGCACATTGCATCCTATTGTACCCTACCAAATGTTTTATGATGTCATCATACTCGATTTTGTCAACTTAACAATCTATCAATGACAATCCAAATATGGTTGCTCACCCGTGGCATGCTACCGCCTGCTTGGTCATCTTGCGAGACAGCATCTTTGAAGAAACATATCTGATACAACAATCATGGTTCTCGCCCCACAATGCTTCACAAAGTTTAGTTCGCTGCACCTCTCTTTCACCCTTAATGATTTGCAATTGTTGAGGTGGCCTCTTCTCTATTCAATTTCTATCTTATATGATATCATGACCTCTCCATCTCTATATAATTTTAAACCCTCCACCGTCGAGGTCTCTATTAAATTCAATGATACCAATTACCATTTATGGTCGAGAGCTTTTTCAATTTATTACTGGTTCTCATGAAAAATCTATCATCTCGATAAATCTCTCTCAACTTATGATGATATGATCAACTTCTCCAAATAGCAAGCATTTGATTATACTATTTTTACTTGGCTATTGAAATGCCTCAAACCTTCTATTGCCTCCAAAGTCAATTTTGACGAGACCACTAAGGCAATGTGGACACAATACTTGTCTTCTAGGAAAATAATATCTCTAAGGTATATACTACATATTCTTGAATGTTTTTAATACTATAAAATGACTTGCTCATCCATAATTACAAGGTAAGAGGTGTCTAAGGGCATTATTCCATCAATTTTATTTTAAGGGTCATGGTTTGACCCTTAAAATTACAATTGATACCATGTTCTTTCCAATAGGAATTAGGAATTAATTTTTTGAGGGCCATTGGTTTTGCCCCAATCCAACCCTAGGATAGATCCCTAGGAATTCTCTAAGGTGACTTAGAGGTCACCTTAGGTGGCTTAGTTAGCCACCTTAGAGAGCTCCATTTGGGCTCAAATTCAATGCATTCAGACCTTAAGATTAGGTCATCTCATGGTACAAATTTCACTGAATTTGGTACTCATTTGGTCCACCGAGTACGAGCTTCAAAAATCCCTTCCTAGAATTAACCTAGAGCCTTAGATAATGCATTAGAAATTCATATTAAATATTAAAAATTCACTTAAGGGCTCTAATTAATCATGGTTTAACCGTTCATAGGAAAAAAAAATAAAATCTCAATCAGTTAACCCTTAATTTCACTATAAGTCCAATTTTAAGTTAAATCAGTAATTAATTCTAATAATTAATTAAAAATAGTTAAAAACCCCAATAAATTCTCAAACACTAGATAATCCCTTCATATATCATATTTTATCTTTGGGGGTAATTTCAAGGAGTTTAGAGTCTATTTGAGTTCAAACCATTAAAAAGATCAGACGCTTAATTAAAATAAATCACCAATCTTACAAAATTCCTAATTAATTCTAGAAAAATCTAATTTAATCAAATTCAAAGGCATCTAATTCAAACTAAAATCTAATATTTTCTAAAACTGTCAAAGTCATGAAAACTGAAGATTTTATTGATGGAATGAGTGAATTTTTCTTTTTTGCCCAAGCACAAATTCCATGGATATGGTCCTGGAATCTTGAATTTAATCAGGACTCCTTAAATATTAAATGCCTTATGCGCAATTTTTCTGTTCAATGGTGGTCCGCCATTATAGTTCATGATAAAAAAAAGCAAATTGATAAGGTAATCCAAAATAACATTATCAAAAATCAAAGTCAACTTCAAGTTGTAGAATTTTCTATAAAAAAACTACAAAAAATGTTTAAACAACATTATCCTCATGAATCCCCTGAGCAAATTAAAGTTCGTCTTCAAAAAGCTTATTGAGAGCAGATGACCCAATTATTTTCTAACGACGAAGAGATGACCTCTAAACGCTCTGATGATACAATCCCTGATACATGGGACCACCCGTCACTCGAAGCCGAAGATGCAGAACCAAGTCATCGTCCTGGAAAAGCTCCACTATCAGAAGAGACAGAAGACTTTTAATAAAAGAGCTTGACAGACAGCATAATGAAATCAATAATGTTGCCTTTCTGACGTGTTATATTCTCTAATATAGACGTGGGTCATTAATCACCCACTACCTGTTATCAGCCAACATAGTGGAGAATAAAAGTATGTAACTTTTATTTTAATAATTGTACTAAGTTTGCTTTAATAATTGTACTATTTCTTCTTCTCGAAGTTTTCTCTTAAACTTATGTCTATAAATAGTCTGTAAGTTGATAACCAATAATTAAATCAGAACAAGATAAATTATCTGCAAGAATAACGAATCTCCAATTAGAACATATTTTAGATCAACCTGATCTTGACGAACTCAATGAATCATAGAATAATGAATCACAAAAGAATGAGAATAATGAGAACAACACTTATTAATTTTTTACAAAAGGTCATTATCCTAAATGGTTGATCTCTATAACATTAGTAATCCAAAAATAATTAGTACTACCAAATCTTACTGCTTTAGTAGACAGCGGTGCAGACATGAATTGTGTCCAAGGACTAATTCCAACAAATTATTTTGAAAAAACTACTCAAAAACTAACTTCAACTAATGGAGATAGTATGCAAATCAAATATAAACTATCCGAAACAGTAGTATGCCAACAAGACTACTGTATTAAAACCTCATTTTTATTAGTAAAAAATCTATCTCAACATATTATACTATGAACCCCATTCCTATTTAGCATTATGCCAATAACTACTATATTAAAGGTATCGTATCTCATTGTTGTGATCCTCCTCTCAAATTTAAATTTATTATAGATCCTAAAGAAATCATATTAAATGAAATAAATAAATTCAAAGGAAAACAAGTACACATAAACTATTTAACTAAAGAAATTCAAATAACTGAACTAACTAGCCAGCTACAAAAATTTGAAAATCAAACAAAAAGTTTTTTGAACTAGAAAAACATATTAAGACTACCGTCTGTGGGGATAATCCTATTAGCTTCTGGAAAAGAAACACTCACTGTGTCAATCTTCCTTATATTGATGGATTTGACAAAAGTCAAATACCTACAAAATCTCGCCCCTCACAAATGAACAAAAAATATTTAGACTTTTGTCATAAAGAAATTACCGACCTTTTAGAAAAATAAATCATTAGAAAATATAGCTCCCCTTGGAGTTATACTGCATTTTATGTTATGAATGCAGTAGAAAAGAACGAGGAAAACCCCGTCCCGTAATAAACTATAAACCATTAAATAAAGTCTTAAAATGGATAAAATATCTCATTCCTAATAAACGAGATCTTCTTAATCGATCAGCACAAGCTAATCTATTTTCAAAATTTGACTTAAAATCTGGATATTGGCAAATTCAGATTAAAGAAGAAGATCGTTATAGGACTGCTTTTACAGTACCATTCGGGCAATACGAATGGAACGCAATACACTTTGGACTAAAAAATGTTTCATCTGAATTTCAAAAAATCATGAATGAAATTTTTAATCCATACGATAAATACATTATTTTTTATATCGATGATGTTTTGGTCTTTTCAAAACATATAGACGAACACTTTAAACATCTAAAAACCTTTATCTGGTTAGCTAGACAAAATGGTTTGGTCATATCAGAACCTAAAATAAAAATTTTTCAAACTGAAATCCGATTTTTAGGACATAATCTAAAAAATGATACTATAACTCCTATCCACAGGAGTATAGAGTTTGCAAATAAATTTCCTGATAAAATATTAGATAAAAAACAGTTTCAACGATTTCTTGGTGCTTTAAATTATGTATCTGATTTTTATCACAACCTTTACAAGGATGCTGCACCCTTGTTTAAGAGACTTCACAAAAACTCTCCCCCTTGGGATGACGAATGTACAAAAGCAATACAAATTATTAAACATCATGTTAAATATCTTCCTTATATTAATTTAGCAAATGCTGCTTATTTAAAAATTGATGAAACTGATACCTCCAACTTAGGGTATGGAGGTATACTTAAACAACAAAATCCTTTAACAAAAAAAGGAAGAATTAGTTTGTTTTACCTCAGGATTATGGAATCATACTCAAAGTAAATACGCTACTATTAAAAAGGAAATATTGGCTATTGTTAAATCTATTAGTAAATTCAAAGACGGTTTACTAAATACTACTTTTATTCTTCGCATCGACTGTTCTTCTGCAAAATTTATTTTACAGACAGATGTTAAAAATCTAGCATCAAAACAAATATTTGTTACCTGGCAAGCCCAACTAACAATTTTTTATTTTTCTATAGAATTTATTAAAGGTAAAGATAACTCTTTACCAGATTTTCTAACACGTGAATATCTTACAGGAACTACAACCTAATATGGACAATGAGAGGTGGCGCACCCCTAAAGGGCACTCTTCACCATCTATCCCCAATCGAGGATGAGAATGGCCAACTCTCCGCGGAAATCCTCGTGGCAGAGGACGTGGTCCAACGGGCCGCGGAAGAGGAGTTTACTCCTCCAAAAATGGTACCCTTAAAAACTTATCTATATGGGGCAGAAGAGCCCAATCAGCCAGAAAAAACTTCTAAAAAAATAAATTTAGAAAAGGCCC